AGATCGTGAGAGGAGTTTAGGTAGATTTTAGTGGATTCGGGCCTTTAACTACCATCTTCCGTATTCTGATGACTAGAGAGAGAGTACTGGGTGCTACGTTTGAGGAGGTGGTGGATATCACTCGTGAGATCGAGTCAGTTCACCGTAGAGAGCGAGACGAGAGGGAGGCCAAGAGGCCTCGTGGATCGGGCAGTTACAGTGGTGCTCCTTCGAGGGGCCAGTTCCAGCATGGTAGAGGTCGTTCTTTTAGGCCTGCTCAGTCGGCCCATCCAGAGTATCGTGGGGGATCTTCAGGCTGTGGTCATCATGGGCCCCAGCAGGGTCAGTCTTCACTCAGCGCCCTCCCAGCTCAGAGTTCATCTCATGCCCCATCAGCTCAGGGTTCTTCTGCACCGAGTGCATCTGCTAGTCACTCCGGTGCGAGGGGTTCCCTTCAGTCCCCATCTCCAGTACTGGGCAGCTGTTATGAGTGCGGAGAGTTTGGTCACTTGAGGAGGCAGTGCCCTCGCCTTCGTGGCAGACAACATCAGCAGAGGGGTCAGCCCTCGACTTCTGCTCCAGTTACTTCATCACCCGCCCAGCCAGCTAGGGGTGGAGATCAGGCAGCCAGGGGTCGTCCCAGAGGTGGAGATCGATCAGGCGGTGGCCAGGCTCGTTTCTATGCTATGCCGGGCAGGACAGATGCCATTGCTTCAGACGCTGTCATTACAGGTATTGTTTCAGTCTGCCACAGAGACGCCTCAGTATTATTTCATCCCGGTTCTACCTATTCATATGTGTCTTCATATTTTGCTCATCATTTGGGTACGTCCCGAGGGTTTCTTGCTTTACCTGTTCGTATCTACCCCGGTGGGCGATACTATTGTTGTAGACCATGTATACCGGTCATGTTTGGTGATTATTGGGGGTCTGGAGACCCGAGTTGATCTATTGCTATTGAGCATGGTGGACTTCGACGTTATTTTGGGCATGGATTGGTGATCTCCGTGTCACGCTATTCTAGACTTTCATGCTAAGACAGTCACTTTGGCTTGCCGGGTGTACCGCGGATCGAGTGGCGTGGTGTGACTGATTATATTCCTAGTAGAGTTATTTCTTTCTTGAAGGCCCAACGTATGTTGGGAAGGGTTGCCTTTCCTATTTGGCGTTTGTGAGGGACGTGGGAGCTGAGACTCCTAGCATTGATTCCGTTCCAGTTGTAAGGGATTTTCCCGATGTCTTTCCTGCAGACCTGTCGGACATGCCGCCGGACAGGGATATTGATTTCGGTATTGACCTGGTGCTGGGCACTCAGCCCATTTCTATTCCGCCATATCGTATGGCACCAGCGGAGTTGAAAGAATTGAAGGAGCAGCTTCAGGAGCTCCTGGATAAGGGGTTCATTCGGCCTAGTCTGTCACCTTGGGGTGCGCCAGTTCTGTTTGTGAAGAAGAAGGATGGCACAATGAGAATGTGCATCGATTATAGGCAATTGAACAAGGTAACAATTAAGAACAAGTATCCCCTGCCTCGCATTGATGATTTGTTTGACCAGCTTCAGGGAGCGAGGGTGTTTTCCAAGATTGATCTCCGTTCGGGTTATCACCAGTTGAAGATCAGGGATTCAGATATTCATAAGACTACTTTCAGGACTAGATATGGTCACTATGAGTTTCTTGTCATGTCTTTCGGGCTGACCAATGCCCCAGCAACATTCATGCATCTGATGAACAGTGTATTTCGGCCTTATCTGGATTCATTTGTCATAGTGTTCATCAATGATATTCTGGTATACTCGCGTAGTCAGGAGGAGCACGCGCAACATTTGCGAGTCGTATTGCAGAGATTGAGGGAGGAGAGGCTTTATGCAAAGTTCTCCAAGTGTGAGTTCTGGCTCGGTTCAGTGGCTTTCTTGGGACATGTGGTGTCCAGCGAGGGTATTCAGGTTGATTCAAAGAAGATAGAGGCGGTGCAGAGTTGGCCTACACCGTCCTCAGCCACAGAGATTCGTAGCTTCCTTGCGTTGGCAGGCTATTACCGCTCGTTTGTTCAGGGTTTTTCCTCTATTGCATCGCCCTTGACCAAGTTGACTCAGAAGGGTGTTTCATTTGTATGGTCGGACGAGTGTGAGGAGAGCTTTCAGAAGCTCAAGACAGCTTTGACCACAACTCCAGTATTGGTTTTGCCATCAGCTTCAGGTTCTTATACGGTATATTGCGATGCTTCGCGAGTTGGGATTGGTTGTGTTTTGATGCAGGAGGATAGAGTTATTGCTTATGCTTCTCGTCAGTTGAAGCCCCATGAGCAGAACTATCCCGTTCATGATTTGGAGTTAGCTGCTATAGTTCATGCATTGAAGATTTGGAGGTATTACTTGTATGGCGTATCTTGTGAGGTATTCACTGATCATCGCAGTCTTCAGCATTTGTTCAAGCAAAAGGATCTTAATTTGAGGCAGCGGAGGTGGCCAGAGTTACTTAAGGATTATGATATCACCATTCTGTATCACCCGGGGAAGGCCAATGTAGTGGCCGATGCTTTGACCCGAAAGGCGGTGAGTATGGGGAGCTTGGCATACATTCCAGTTGGGGAGAGGCCATTTGCAGTTGATGTTCAGGCCTTGGTCAATCGATTTGTGAGACTAGATATTTCAGAGCCCAGTCGGGTGTTGGCTTGTGTGGTTTCCCGGTCTTCCTTATACGACCACATCAGGGAGTGTCAGTATGATGATCCGCATTTGCTTGTCCTTAAGGACAGGGTTCAGCATGATGATGCCAGAGACGTGACCATTGGTGATAATGGTGTGTTGAGGATGCAGGGCCGGATTTGCGTGCCCAATGTGGATGGGCTTCGGGAGTTGATATTGGAGGAGGCCCATAGCTCGCGGTATTCCATTCATCCGGGTGCCGCGAAGATGTATCAGGATCTTAGGCAGCACTATTGGTGGCGGAGGATGAAGAGAGATATTGTGGAGTATGTAGCCCAGTGTCTTAGTTGTCAGCAGGTGAAATATGAGCATCAGAGACCGGGTGGCTTGCATCAGCAAATGGTTATTCCTGAGTAGAAGTGGGAGAGGATCACTATGGATTTTGTTACCGGACTCCCACGGCCTTTGAAGAAATTTGATGCTATTTGGGTGATTGTAGACAGGCTGACCAAGTCCGCGCACTTCATTCCGGTTTGTACTACTTATTCTTCAGAGCGGCTGGCAGAGATTTATATTTGGGAGATTGTTCGGTTGCATGGTGTCCCAGTTTCCATCATATCAGATTGGGGCACTCAGTGTACATCTCAGTTTTGGCAGACGGTTCAGCGAGAGTTGGGTACTCAGGTGCAGTTAAGCACAGCCTTTCACCCTCAGACGGACGGGCAGTCCGAGCGCACCATTCAGATATTGGAGGATATGCTACGCGCTTGTGTTATTGACTTCGGGGGGGGGGGGAGGGGGTCATGGGATCGGTTTCTACCGCTTGCAGAGTTTGCCTACAACAACAGCTATCATTCCAACATTCAGATGGCCCCGTATGAGGCCTTGTATGGGAGACGGTATAGATCTCCAGTTGGTTAGTTCGAGTCCGGCGAGGCTAGATTGTTGGGAACTGATTTGGTTCAGGATGCATTGGAGAAGGTGAAGGTGATTCAGGAGAGACTCCGTACAGCGCAGTCGAGGCAGAAGAGTTATGCGGACAAGAAGGTCCGAGATGTATCCTATATGATTGGTGAGAAGGTCTTGCTGAAGGTTTCAACCACAAAGGGTGTTATGAGATTCGGAAAGAAAGGGAAATTGAGTCCGCGGTTCATTGGGTCTTTTGAGGTACTTAGGAGGATTGGGGAGGTGGCTTATGAGCTTGCCTTTGCCACCTAGCTTGTCGAGCGTGCATCCAGTTTTTCATGTTTCTATGCTCCGGAAGTATATTGGAGACCCGTCCCATGTCTTGGATTTCAGTACAATTCAGTTGGAGGGTGATTTGACTTATGATGTAGAGCCAACAACCATTTTGGATTGTCAGGTTTGGAAGTTAAGGTCAAAGGATGTTGCTTCGGTAAAGGTGCAGTGGAGAGGTCGGCCCGTGGAGAAGGCTACCTGGGAGACCGAGCGGGATATGCGAAGCAGATATCCTCACCTATTTGAGGCTTCAGGTATGTTTCTTGACTCGCTCGAGGACGAGCGTTTGTTTAAGCTGGGGAGGATGTGACGATCCGACCCGTCGTCACGTGAGTTACTGCCCCGTTTTCCCCATTTTCTACTTCTTTATGCTTCATTATAAGAGTCTTGTGTGAACGAGTTGATTTGGATATGTTTTAGAAGGAAATGAGACACTTAGTCTCTTTAAGGAAGGTTTGTTTTGAAAAAGTCAACCGGATATTGACTTATGAGTTAGAGGGCTCGGATATGATTTTCGATGGTTCGGTTAGCTTCGGGGGGATGATTTGTGACTTAGGAGTGTGATAGGAAGTGTTTTTGGAGGTCCCGTGTAGAATTAGGCTTGAATTGGCGAAGTTAGTATTTTGGCGAATTCCGGTTGATAGGTGAGATTTTGATCCGAGGGTCGGAAATCGGAATGGAATTCCGAGAGTAGTTATAGCTTCGTTATGTGATTTGGGATGAGTGTGCAAAATTTCAGGTCATTCGGAGGTGATTTGGTTGGGTTTTTGATCGAATGCGTATTTCGGAAGTTTTTAAGGAACTTGGGCTTGAATTCGATGAGAAATGATGGTTTTAGTGTTGTTTCAGGTGTTTTTATGATAGGAACAAGTTTGAATGATGTTATAGGAGGTTTTGGTGCTTTTGGTTGAGGTCCCGGGGGTCTCGGGGTGATTTCAGATGGTTAACGGGAAGTTTTGGTTTGTGAAGTTAAGATTTTTTTGCAGTTGCTTCTGGTATTTTCGCTTCTGCGGAAATGGGACCGCAGAAGCGGTACCGCAGAAGTGAGATGTGAGCCGCAGAAGCGGCAGGTATCGCAGGTGCGAAGTGGCTGACCGCATCTGCGGAGTCGCAGATGCGACGAAGTGACCGCATATGCGGAGTTTGGAGAATTAAGGGGAACTGCAAACGCGGAGTTTTGTCCGCAGAAGCGGAAGGCGCAAGTGCGTAAATCCAACCGCAGAAGCAGAAATATCCGCAGAAGCGGTGCATTGACCGGAGAAGCGGGAGTCACAGATGCGGCTAAGGAGCCACAGATGCGGAAATGACTGGTCAGTGCTATTTAATTTCTCCTTCGCGAAATTTCAAAGGGTTTCATATTTTCACTTCGGACTTGGAGAATTTGGGCGAGTTGGAAGAGAGAAATCAAGGAACTTCTTTGAGGCAAGGATTTCTGAGTCAAAAACACAATTCTAAGGTGTTATTACATGAATTTAGACTGGAAAAAACTAAGGAATTAAGGAGTTAGAATGTTGGATGAGGGCTTGAAACTTAAGAGAGTTAAATGGGGATTTGAGGGGTCATTTGGACTCCGATTTTGGTAATCTTTATATGTATAGACTCGTGGCGAGATAAGGAGTCCGTTGATGTTAAATTTTTTGATTTTCGAGAAGTGGGCCCGAGGCTCATGTTTTGCTAATTTCGAGATTTTTGCTATTTTTCGATTGTTTTCGATTGGGTATTGTTCCATTGGTATATTGTGACGTATTCATTGTGGTTTTGATCAGATTCGACGCACGAGGAGGTCGATTTGAGAGGCAAGGGCATAACGAGCTAGGATTTTGGCCGGCTTGAAGTGAGTAATAGATGTAAATGATGTTCTGAGGGTTTGAAACCCCGTATTTGCACATCGTAGTGCTATATTGAGGTGACTTGCACGCCCGGTAGCGAGCGTGGGGTAGAGAACCATTGGGGATTGTGACTTGGTCCGTCCCGGTAAATGAATATACTGCGTATTTGACTGAAATTCACTTATTATCATTTTAATTGAGCTGATTACTATATTTGGGCTTCGTGCCAATTGATTGAATCCTTTAGGGATTGTTATTACTGGTTTCTTACCATTTCTACATATCATTGAACTCAGTCCTAGTATTTAATACTGTTTTGCAAACCCAGCCACCTTTTTCTTAAACTTGAAACTTAATTAATATTTTTAATGAAGTTTGGGCTGAATATTTCTATATTATTGTGCCCGAGGGGTTTATGTGATTTTGGACTGAGTTTGGGATCGGGCTGCGCGCTGCAGCGGTATTGTATTGATATTGATATGAGGTCGAGGGCCTAGTTGATGCCACAAGATGGCTTATTATTGCGCTTGGGCCGTAAGGGGCCCCTCCCGGAGTCTGCACACCCCCAGTGAGCGCCGTCGACGATAAATAAATGGAGCGGGCTGCACGCCGCAGCGGGTACTGGAGAGTACCGGTTTATGTGTTGCATTGCATATTTGATTGTCATTTACTTATTTATCTGTTGTGGTATTTCCATAATTGTTTTCATTGATTTACTGATTTTATACTACTTGGTAAGTTGCTGTATTTAAAGAATTACTTTGTGTCTATTCAGGATTTTTTATTCTCAGTCTTTATTTATGTTTATTACTCACTGGGTCGGAGTACTCACATTACTCCCTGCACCTTGCGTGCTGATCCAGGTACATCTGAGGCTGTGTGAGGATTTCTCTGCCTAGCAGCTTATCCGGGAATATCAAGGTAGCTGCATTTGACGTCCGCAGTCCTGATCTTCCTTCTATCTTATTGCTTCATTTTCGTATTTTCTAGAGAACGATATGTAGTAGGTGGATACCCATGTATTAGAGGCTCAGACTTGTGACACCGGATTCTTCGGGCCGTGTAGTAGTATTGATATTTGGGATTTCCGCATGTTTTAACTCTATTTCAGAACTTCAGTATCATGACTTAGTAATTTATTCATGTTAATTAATTCATGAACTGGATAAAAATGGTTAAGGTTATTAAATAGGTCGGGCTCGCCTAGCAGTGCGTTGGGCGCCATCACGACCGGTGGTGGGGTCGTGACAATATATCTGTATATATCATGAATAAAAAAAATAACTTGCTGAGCTATCATAAAGTCTTATATCCTTAAAGAAATTTTCATAACCACTAATAAAACACCATCAGAAATTAAAAGCTTGACTAGAAAATCTTGAGACTTCTACTGCCACTCTAGTATCATGCATCGTAACGTTGGCCGAGTAAATCCTTTTAAAAATTGAATTAAAATTTTTGTGTTTTTTCTAGATTCTCAAACCGATGAAAGTAGTTTGAGAAGAAGAACCATGATATACAAACATACAATTTTTATATAATATATAAATTGATTATACACTCATGATACACAAACACACTCTGGATATACTCAATATACACTATAAATACATAAATACGCTCAGGATACACTTAATATATATTAAGAATACATTTTCAAAATTTAGGATACGATGTATATGCATTTTTATTAGTTACATCACAATATATTTACAACTCTTATACAAAAATATAATACAATTATCTTGCATGTGTAACTTTATACGTGATCTTTTTCCAAGTAAAAGCGATATGTATACAATTTTTATATATTATATAAATAGAATATACACTCATGATATACAGACACACCCAGGATATACTTAATATACACTTTGGATATAAAAATATACTCAGCATACACTTAATATACACTAAGAATACATCGCCAAACTTAGGATACAATATATATACATGTTTTATACATCCGCATAACAATACATATACAACTTTTATACAAAAATGTAAGACAATTATCATCATGTATAACTTCATTTATATTTACATGTATATATATCTGTATATATTGTATAATTGTGTATATGCAATATTCAATAAAAAATTATAATACAAATACCATCTAGTTACCCCAGTAAACCCAAAATCCACTGTTGATACCCACTACAAAAGATCTTCACTCACAAAATACATTATGATCTAAAGAAAAAGAAGAAGAAGAAAAAGAAGAGAAAAGAAGAAATCACCTGTATAAAAAAGAATAACTTGCTGAGCTATCATAAAGTCTTATGTCCTTAAAGAAATTTTCCTAACCACCAATAAAACACCATCAGAAATCAAAAGTTTGACTAGAAAATCTTGCAACTTCTACTGCCACTCTAGTATCATGCATCGTAACGTTGGTCGAGTAAATCCTTTTAAAAATTGAATTAAAATTTTTGTGATTTTTCTAGATTCTCAAACCGATGAAAGTAGTTTGAGAAGAAGAACCATGCTATACAAACATACAATTTTTATACAATATATAAATTGATTATACACCCATGATGCACAAACACACTCTGGATATAATTAATATACACTTTAATAACATAAATACACTCAGGATACACTTAATATATATTAAGAATACATTTTCAAAACTTAGGATACGATATATATGCATTTTTATACGTTACATAACAATATATATACAACTTTTATACAAAAATTTAATACAATAATCTTGTATGAATAACTTTATACGTGATCTTTTTCCAAGTAAAAGAGATATGTATACATTTTCTTTTTATTATATAAATAGAATATACACGCATGATATACAGACACACCCAGGATACACTTAATATACACTTTGGATATAAAAATATACTCACCATACACTTAATATACACTAAGAATACATTGCCAAACTTAGGATACAATATATATACAAGTTTTATACATCACATAGCAATACATACACAGCTTTTATACAAAAATGTAATACAATTATCATGCACGTATAACTTCATTTATATTTACGTGTATATATATCTTTATATATAGTATAATTGCGTATATGCAATATTCAATAAAAAATTATAATACAAATACCATCTAGTCACCCCATTAAACCCAAAACCCACTGCTGATACCTATCACGACCCAATTCCCGCCCGGTCGTGATGGCGCCTCTCGTGAAGACAAGGCCAGCCAACAGAACAATCAACACTGCTTTTGACAATTTCTTAGCATAACAGGTTTAAACCATAGATACTGATTAATCATAAGTACGGAAATAGACGTAACATAACGGGGAAAAACCATCCCAAACTCAGCCCGATGATCGGGGTGTCACGAGTCACGAGCTACTACAGAGTTGATGAAAATACTACAAGTTTGGAAACACAGTCTGAAGATGAATAAAATATGCAGAAGATAAGGAAGAAACGGGGCTGTGGACGTCGACAACTACCTCGTCTCTCCTAGTCCGCCTGGTCTGGAAGGAAATCAGCGCTCAGGTACGAACTCAGTTGTGCCTGTCTCTGCACACATGGTGCAGGAAGTAATGTGAGTACTCTGACCCAGTGAGTAATCAAAATAAATAACGACTGAGAACATAAAATCCCACAAGGGCACAAATAATGCTATCTCAAGCAGCAACATCAGATAAACAGTAGAAACCAGTGAAAACATAGGAAGAAAATCTCTTTGAAAACAATTAATAAAACAAGTATGCTCAAGTAGTAACTCAGCCATTGTTACCTGACCGGTCAGCCATTGTTACCTGACCAACGCGTGTTACAATGCCATTGTTACCACTGGTCAGACATTGTTACCTGACTGGTCAGTCATCGTTACCTGACCAAACGCGTATAATAGTGTCATTGTTACCACTGTTCAATATTTAATCACTCTAGATGGGTACCCGCGCTCACTGTAGGTGTGCAGACTCCGGAGGGGCTCCTACTGCCCGAGCGCTATCAACAAGGCCTGAAAGCCTGAACAATATCAATATGAGGCCTGAAAGCCTGCTCACAATACACTCGAGGCCTGAAAGCCTCCTCACAATGCCCTCGAGGCCTGAAAGCCTCCTCACATCACTCAACATATCCTCACATATGGCCCTCGGCCTCAATCAGTCCAAAAATAATCGTAAGCCCCTCGGGCAATAGTAAAGAAACAATAATGCTCAGCTCAACAGTAGTTCAAATATCAGTTAGAACTCAAGGTTTGAGTAAAAATATAGCTGGGTTCATGAAACAGCGTAAATCACATGGACTGAGTTCAAATAATATCTCAAACAGTGAGGAAAACAGTGATGATAGTTCATAAAGAGTTCAACAGTCGGCAATAAGCCCCAAATATGGCAACAAGCCCAAATCATAGTGAAAACAACAAGTCATTGCTAATACGCAAATATCATCCGTACTGGACCAAGTCACAGTCTCCAGTAGTAAATGACCCCGCGCTCGTCATGGAATGCGTGTCTCATCTCA